GATATGCTAAATTTGGCATAACATAACCCCAGATTTGCTCTTGTCTACCATCTATCAACAATGGTGGGCTACTCAAATTTTCTAAGTTTTTCTAAGCTGTGCCAATTCTCGACGATTCCTTGTTTTCCCATACGGAGCTTTCAGACTTTTCTTGATCAAACTCTGCTGAAGTGACACCTATTTGAGAACTCTTTGCTAGTCGATACTTTGGACATCTCTGTCCCATATTCCCAGTTTTTTTACAGTGGAAACAGATCCCTTTGATGGAAAGTTTATTGAGGGCATTTTTGCTGCGCCGAGGTGCTCTAGGCCTATTATCTGACTTGATTATATCCCTATTGACCTGGCCCTGCAGATTTGAAAATTTTCTCAGTGACTTCAATTCCTGCATGGCAGCGGCTAGAAGTGCGCTAGTTCGTGTCATAACTTTACCGCCATGCTCATCCAATTCTACACTGGTTTTATCTGAAAAATTTAGAGTGCTACCACTATTAGGTGTTCCGAGATAGGTTTCTGTTTGTGTCGCATTATTTGATCAATACTCTGCCAATGCTTCCAGCTAAGCTGCTACCTTACTAACCTTAGTCACCCACTCCTTATAATTACTCGTGGAGGGAAGATCAGCAGATACCAGAGCTCGATGTAGGCGCACGTTCAAAGATAGATTCAACTGTGTTGTCTTTCCCAACAAGGTAAATAGGTCCCTACACAAAGCCATCCGGTATTCGAAATCTTTGAGGAAGTCCTGAAAGAGCTGGTTATATCCCTGTTCTATGCGCTGAATCATTTCTACGGCAGCCTGACAAGCCTGGTTATCTTGAAATTGTATGCAAAGATGATCTATAAACTCTTGCCAGTCAAATACTCCATTGTCTACATAATCTTTAAACCAAGCAGCGACCCGTGGCATCTTTTCTTCTGGGAAAGTATCTATGATGCCCAAGCAGATTGTGCTGGCACCTATTCCAAGCGCTTCTTCCCTTTCTATTCTCACCATCAGTTGTTGAAAATAAAATTCAAAGTCTTCTTGTCTGCCGGTCCACTTTGGTAATACCGCTCGTGACATTGACATAATGGGACTTGCGCCTGTATATAATATATGAACATCCTTTCCTTTCAATTTCGCTGGACTTAGGGTGGACTCTCGGGCACGTCTCTCTCTCATGAGAATTGCAATTTCGTGGCGCTCGAATTCAGGGATTTCGGCCCATGAATCCGCAACTGTCGACCCTTCCATTACTGGGTTGCCGTCGTGGTGTTCTGAGTTCAGCAAATACAACTCTAGATAAGAGTAATAAAGGTTGTTAAACTTTGTGACATCCGATTTTCGCTCAATAGGTTTTATAATGGCCTAGAATAATTCTCCGGGCTACACCCCACAGAGAGATTAAAAAGAATTGTGATAGAAAATGTATGTGACGGGCTAGGACTTTTGGCCAATGCACAAAAGCAATGCCACAATTAAATGTTTATATTTTCTATGAGGAAATTACGAGCGGGAAGCTATGGCTTTTTATAACTACAATGCCTGTTCCAGATACCCTTGTCCTTTACACGTGACCTGATAATACTCCCGTAAAGTGAGAAGATTTACAAACTCGCTTGAGCCTTCAAGATAAGGATGGGCCCTAGAGCCTTAAACAGCCCAGCCAGAACCCAGCCGGGCCTAGCCCGTAACATGACGTACTGTTAGGATGAAGGTATGGAAGGAGGTAGCTATGGCTTTAAGAGAAGTAAAGTTCGTGAGTTATACTCTTAGGACTCGGATCAATGGACGAACTTGAGGATATTCCCTAGTATTCTCAAGTGTATAAATAATATGGAGATTATATAAGTTTCCTATTGAATAAATTGCTTAAGTTATCTATGCGACAGAATCTTCCTCTATCTACATGAATAAAGGGGTTCTGCAGGGGGACTATTCTCAACACCTGGCAGTGGTGTCCCCTACAAACCTCCAGCTCTCACTGTAGAGTCTGCAGAGCCGAGATTGAGTAACAAAGTCCTCACTTCCAAGAGGATTCCCAATCGCTTTCGCGGTCTGTATCGTCTTCATCTCTCAACACATTCCCCTATCACCACTATCATGAAGCTAACCACGATCAGATCAGATGGTAGGGTCGGAGCCCTACTTGTCACCCACCCTTGATCACGGAGGAAAAGCCATCCGATGAGTTTCCGGAGCGTACCCAGCACCCAATACAGAGATGGTGGATTGGATCAAGTCGACCTCGACTGTTACAAAGAAGGGAGATATAGATGAATATGCACACCTCATATGGTCCCGGTGTCTAGGCCTCGCCTGGCTGGGGCTGCAGGTTTTTTGAGACTTTTTCCCGCGCACGCAGTTTCCATTGCTACCATTTTTATTTTTTTTGGGTAGAAGGTTCCGTGGAAAAGGTGGCTGAATTCCACGGGTAAACACTGAGCTGAATGGCTATTCATCAAGGGGAATATATCAATGATCTTTCAAGTAACAAAAGAGGATAGGAGCACTGTACAAGGTGTGGCCTGGGTCAGAGAGGAGCCCAATGTGCTAGATAGTCATAGACTCAAGTAGTACAATAAAACACAAACACACACACACAAAAAAAGGGGTTCTGCACACTAGTGGATGTTCCAACATCTGTCCTTGTCTAACCGAGGAAGGAAGGATGTGAGAGATCCTAGTGCCAATAGATACCATTAGGAATCTATTGGGAAATACTATGTCATACCAATGAGCAATGATCTAGGTCAATCACATCCCATGGCGCATGTGCACATTACTCTAATGTGAACAGTTTATTGTAATGCAGTCATGTTACCCCCTTAATTACCACAATAAACCCCCCTGCATCTGGTTATTGTGGATCACAGAGATGTAGAGTCTAATGGTTAAAACAGAACAGACCAGATTCAGATAGAATAGAACAGGATGGAATAGACTGTGATGACTCAGAGCTGTATGGAACTGAGCAACAGTGGATATGGAAAGCCATAGAAAATGGTATATGTATATAAAAGTAGTGATTCTCCGAACTTAAATGAAAGTAAACAAGTCTACTAATTAATTACAATCTACCTCTATCTTCAAGTCTCAGTGAACGTGCAGTTTTTTATCGGTAACTATTCCACCTCCCATAAACTTGCATTTTTAACAGTTAGCCAGGAGCACTTCTTTTGTCAATGAGTCAACGGCACTCCCCAGCGCCCTGGACGGCACAAAAGAAGTTGGGATAAGCTACCTTACAGCAAACATGCTCTATTAAGACATTTCTGGCATTTCAGCACGACCTTCGGGAAAGAGTTGGAAGGAGGCTAGAAAGGCAGAGGGTAAATTCTCCAAGGTACACTCAAATCTGCAGCGCCCAGCTGGTTAGCTTCTTCGAACGCTTCGGAAGGATCACTATGTCTTCGGATTTAGTCCTAATGTCGGTATTAGGAGAGTTCCGCACCCAGTGGTTTTTGCGAATTTTCCCGGCTGCCATACACCCGCAAATGGCCATCGTTTCGTTGGCTGGAGAGGGGAGATAATTAAGGGCAAAGGGCTCCTCTTAGTGTATAATCGAATGAGGACTTGTGAGGGGTGGTACTGTTTGAGGGGAGCTGTATGGGAGGCATAGGAGGGGATATACTACTGGTATAGGTATCCTTGGCCTGTAGGCAGAGAGGACCTGCATGTGCTACATAGTCATAGACTCAGGTAGGACAATAAAATGAATTAACAATATATTCGATCGCTAAGTTGGGAAGGTCACGGATGAGTATTTGTTCTTAGCGCTTCTAAATAAGGTAACATGAGTACCAGACTGGCGATAACTTTTCTTTTTTTATTTATTTTGCATCAGGTTTTAATTGCCTGTGCAGCTAACTAGCTATGACATAATATCAGAGAAGTGTATAATAGATGACTCAATTTACAAGTAGAGCACTCATGCCTCGGAATTCATTTGCAAGTACCACTGCAAAGTTATGGTGGCTTTTTCTTCACCCCAAGTCAACCCTCATCCGTGAATATCCACCCAGGGAACATCTCAAAAACCTTGAGTTATCCAGACATGCCTCCATCATCCATTAATTTTTTTCCGCGCGAAATATGGTCTTTGGTGTCTCCTTCCCAAGTGAAGTAATTGCCTAGACTACTCAGACTTTACCAGAGAACACCATCAGGAGGCGGACCATAGGACCTTTCATCGTTTGCTTGTTTTTCTATAGTCAGCTTCACTCTCGAACGCGAATTCTTGGCGCGCACAAAGCCCAATTCGTAAAAGTCTTGCCTAGATTCCAAAAATCACGCCCATCGAAGTTAAATCCTTCCTTTGCATCATCTTGTCAACTTGTCCTGATCCCTCTCACGTCCATCCCGAGGAGCTATCTCCTAGATTTGTGCGCCACGCTTTGCTTTCTCCGTCAGGTTTAAATATCGGCGAGGGCATGTATTTGGTGACCAGCTTAGGCCAGAGAATAGTCGATGAAAAGTGTGATCATTGAAACGAGAATGTACTTGGTCGTACTTGCAGACTTGGTGAGACTTAGGTAGGACTCAAACTCGTTGGGAGCGAAAAAACGACGTGGAGGAGTGATTTGAATCATTGCCTCGCTGGGCAACTTCTTCGATATTGCGAAATTTAACTAAACTTGGCTCTAGGAGAATATTTCACTCCCAGGTTCGTAGAAAGGCACCGCGTACAGGTGTTCAGTCTTGCCCTCCGCGATGACTCTTCATTTCGCTTTAGAATCAAATTATTCCTTGTAGCCTAGACTGCCTGTACAAGACTTAGACTACACGAACACAACCCACACGGGAATGTCGCTCATATCCATTCATCTAACATGAATCATCCTCCATGGAAAGGTGGGGATAGCCAATTAAATAATCGAGCAGATTCCTTGGCTTCCACTTCACTCGGCCGACAGAACTAAGGATCGATGACAAGCTACTGACTCAGTCTACGCGAAGGCAGATGGAAATTTTCAGACGAATCCTCTGCTTAGATTAGACTTGTGTAGCGGTTTATATGGTACAGTCCTGTTCAGTTAGGCACAGGAGAAGAGACTCGAAAGTTTATTCAACGAGGGAAATGAAGGGACTCCCGCTATTGCACTTGGTCTTAACAAGTCTTCTAGTCTACGCAATTAGCGCAAATGTTGTCGAATCCGATTTTATTTGTGAGCAGGAGATTATCCCCAAAGACAGTATCAATACTGCAATTTATCACGCCTGTTCAGCTCTCAGCACTCCATTAGGTAAGACTAAATATCCTGTTGCGTTCGATGCCTCAACTTTATTCTTTATTCACGACGCAATCTTATTCTCCTGGCCTGTCTCAATGGAGGGAGAATCATACACAAGAGGTAGGGACAAGAATCACTATAATACTAGACAGAAAGGTTCGATGACAACGCGCTAATCACTGAGAGGTGTATAGGTCGTACTGGAAGGTTTCGCTCGCTCATAGACTCAAGCTGTAAATTCTACGGAATAATTCTTACCATCAAAAATAGACCCGATACGCGATGCTATCAACCGGTAAAAGCAGTGCGCTTATATGATTTATCACTCAGTTCTGGCCCAAGAAATCCATCTATCTTCCGGGGCTACAGATGTCAGAATAAAGTTTTTGAATTATCTTTTGTGGATCAAACCTTAAGAAATTTTCATAATCTCTATACGAAGTGGAAATCTAATAATATCAATATTCTTCTAAATAGTCACACAACTGTCGATGAATTATTTAAAACACACGTTTACCTACTGCCAAGTGAAGTGTCCCATTTTCAGAATCGTTATATAGGTAATTATATGACAATCCCAGCTTATGAAGATAATGGTATGACTGATGACTAGAAAATCCACACAAACCCTACTTTATCGTGGTAAATTATAATTTTGAAAAATTAGGCATGGTCTCCAAGGATTTGAATAGCTGGGCAAAATGTGACGAACTTTATGAAAACGAACTAGAACTACGCCAGTCTCCAAACACAATCAAGAATTCCATTGGTGAATTTATATTCCCAGTTGAAAGTGATTATAAATGTGGATTCACCGAGTTTACGCGAAAGTCGATCAATAGTCACATGCAGCTAGCTTGTAATTTGATTGCACGTCAAGACCATTCTCCCTCGACCGACTTGGATAGCATCTTTGGTCAATCGTTCACAATGTCAGAGGTGGGAATGTTCCCTGTTTTGAAGCTGCCCCTGAAATTACCAGAAAGTGAAGTAAATCGTACGGGTAAGAAAGCTTCCACAAGTTTTGAAGTGCTGCGCTGACTTAATTGGGATAGCTAAAAAAAGACCGATCAGAGCCTTCATAGTGTTTGATAAAATATGTAATTTCCATGGAGTTTTCTGGTTCCAACAAAATATTATCAAAAAATGCATGAAGTTAACATGATGATTTATATAGAAAGATAATAAAACCAGCAAAGATAACTGAACTAAATTTTGTCTTCAAAGGAATGAAGCTTAAGAACAAACCTTTAATGGTTGATAGATGAACAAAAAGCAACCCTCGAAATACCAGCTTTAAAAAGAGGATAAGTAAATGAAAATAATTCCAGTCTCATTTACTGAAGACAAAAAATCCCTAACATCCTACAAGTCGGTCACTTTTTGCCACCCAAAACTTTATTTGTGTTGTGAACTATAGCATCAACTAAACGTTGATTGCTGGTGACAATATCTGATGCTCGCCCGGGCTAGCAAAGTTTCATAGCTTGCAGATTTGGTAAATAAGTCTCGACAGGTTCCTAAATCACATGTACATTCATATTGGTGCCAATGGTGGTTGCAGTGAAAAACAGGATCATGGCTTATCAATCAGAGTCTCAGATAGGTCGGGATTAACTTTTATTTGATGTTTAATGTTACATTCAACCCAAAATTTGCAAGATATAGAATTTCACGTTAAGGATAGAAAATATATATATATTGTTAAGGAAATAATAACCCCTCAGTCGTTGAGGTTGTAAAGCGCGTTGATTCAAGCAACTACCAAAGTGAAACAAATAACAGAATTTGCAGTCACTTGTGTATCAACAATGTGGCCTACTTGATAGCCCCAATTATTCTAAATTCTTACATATATATATATATATATATATATTTCGCATCACTATTTTTGGATGTATATGATGATGATTTTATTTATCGTGCCAGGCTTACACCCTCCATCCAATGGACGTGACACGCATTGAGGACGTCTAGAATACAAGTTCTTCCATTCTCCAGCAAAGCCCATCTCGTGCCTGACTTTTCCGAATACGTGCCTCACGCTAGTTACATCGGGTCGAATAGGTAGGAACGCATTCACCATGATCCTAAGACCATGTATTGAGGGAAAACCTTCGTGGGAAAACCTCAATAATTGCTCCTGTGTTCTTTCACGACGAGCAGCCGTAGTCCCCCTTAAACAGGCCGTGTAGGAATCCAACCTACCACTTCTAAAAGCACATCCAGTACCCGACCAACTGTGCCAACAGCCTGTTGAAAATCACAGATCGCTCTTCCCAAATTCTCCCCTGCATTGCGCTCAACCCCCATCTGAGAGGGCTGAAATTCCGAAATCGAGAGCTCAAAACCGAGGCATCGATGCCCCAGCTTTTGTCGTACATTGTTCGTTGTCTGGGTGAGGCATCTTCATTCGCGCCGTCTTTGGAATGTGTCGAAAAGTTGAGAATGTAGATGTCGCGGCCGAGGTCCTTGACTAAAGTGAGGTTGAGCCATTACCCAGTCCTGCACAAAATGTTAGTAAGGTTGAAAGCGAAAGGAATTTTACCTTCGATTTTGTATGGTTGTTGGTGAGTCGTAAAGTCCTCCCAGTCAAGCTCAATCGGGAATTTGAATTTGAAATCTTTTACGTGACAGGAAGAACCTACCATCTATTTAGACGTGACACGGGTAGATGGGCTCTGAAAGCTCATTGCTACCTACATGACCGGCAGTGGAGCCAGAAGCGACAAAAGAAAAGAGTGAAAAAAAAAGAACAGTATGTGTCTGAGTTACGGTGCCCTGCACCGGAGGGCAAGACTGAACACCTGTACGCGGTGTCCTCTACGAACCTGGGAGTGAAATATTCTCCCAGAGCCAAGTTCAGTCAAATTTCGCAACATCAAAGAAGCTGGTCCACGAGGCAAAAATTCAAATTACTCCACCATGTCAATCTTTCACCCCCAAAGAGTCCGATTCTCAACTAAGCTTCATCAAGTCTACAAGTACGACCTAGTACATCCTCGTTTCAATGACCACACCTCTCGTCGACTTTCTCTGGCCTCAGCCGGCCACCAAATACACGCCCACGCCGATATTTATACCCGACGGAGGAAGCAAAGCGTGGAGCACAATTTTGGGAGATAGCTCTTTGGGACGGACGTGAGAGGGATCAGGATAAGTTCACAAGATGATGCAGAAGAGGGATACGATTTCGACGGGCGTGGAATTTTGAATTTTGGCAAGAGTTTTACGAATTGAGCTTTGTGCGCGCCAAGACTTCGCTTGCGAGAGTGCAGCTGACACTATAAAAACAAGCAAACGATGGAAGGTGTTGTGGTCCGCCTCCTGGCGGTGTTCTCCGGTATAGTCTGAGTAGCCTGGGCACCTACTCCACTTGGGAAGGAGACACCTCAGATCATATTTCGCGCGGAGAAAACTTGATGGATGACGGAGGCATGTCTGGATAACTCAGGGTTTTTGAGATGTTCCCCTGAGTGGGTATTCACGGATGAGGGTTGACTTGGGGTGAAGAAAAAGCCACCATAACTTCGCAGTGGTACTTGCAAATGAAATCCGAGGCATGAGTGCTCCTCTTGTAGATTGAGTCATCTTTTCTGTACTTTTCTTTGATATTGTGTCATAGCTAGATAGCTGCATACGCAATTAAAATCTGATGCAAAAAAAAAAAAAAAAAAAAAAAAAAAAAGGTGCCCTGCACCGCATCCCTATCTTCCACACCCATCTACTCTCGGGTCAGAAACAATCTCAGCGTGGTCACCTCCCACCCTGTTTATTCTTCGGCAGACTGTAACATCGGCTTTTAGTTAAGAATCGAATGAACTTCTGCCATCCCTTCTCCCCTATCATTTCCCGGCCCTAGGTGGGGCCATTTTCTCACAGCTTTTCCAACATTGCAAAGCAGGTCGGCACTCTGAAAAATGCCAGGGCCTTTTCTCTCGGCCGCAAACGCATTTCAGATCTTCATGTTCGGGGTTGAAACATCAATGGTAGTCGGCGTAGTCCCCGTGGCCTGTTCTTGCCGCAATAAGACGATGGTACGCCCATCTTGGTAAAGCTAGTTCCGGTGGTCTTTTGCAACGCATGAATAGGTCCAGATCTTTGTATCGTTTCGGTTGATACTTCTGCCACCATTCTTCCACGAGCTCTTGGCTGCGCTGTTTAACCCACCTCCCTAATGCCGCAAAGGTTAGATCTTGATCTTCTCCACTGGGCGCAGCTGAGGTTAGTGACCGGATATTGGGAGCTCCCAAGGCTGATTTGGCCAGCTTATCGGCCTCTTCATTGCCTTGAATCCCCACATGCCCGGGTATCCAGCGTATTTCCACACGCATATTGTGTCTCAGCAATGAAAACTTGTCCACCACCAACTGCGAGGAGTTAGATCTTCCTCTTTCGAGCGCCTGGGTGGCCGCTTGGTTGTCCAGAAGAATGCAGATCAGTAAGTCTTTTCCTACCTCTATTGCAGCCTTCAAGGCTTTCATGGCACCTACAACTTCTGCATCGAATAACTCTGCTCCGGGAAGTGGACCGGAGCATTTTGCATCTAGCTTGCCTCTTTGTTAGAGTTATGAGTTAAATGGGAACATAGTTACTTGGAATGTGTCACGATGTTTGTTCAGATGGTTTGATACTTGGTAATGTGATTGCTGGCAGGTTGTAAAGGGTTGAAGAAATTCAGAAATACTTGAAGTCGGTAACGTACTGGAAATGAATAATTTTTCCTTGGGGAAAGCTTAACTACCGTGTCGTATCCTGTCCTTTATGTCTTCCGCGCACGTTAGTATTAATTCCCCCCTTCAGCCATATGAGAATTAATCCTTTCTCCCTGGCTCTTTTCTCCTGTATTGTACTCCCCCATCTTGTACGTACCCCCTTTGATACCAACTTTAAGTCCCCTTTCGTCTTTCAAGGAGCGTTGCTTTGCCACTACCTTACCCTGGAGAAGGAGTGGTCCTAGTGACCAGTCCTAATCCGGGCAAAGCCCGTCACACAGGTGTCCGATACTTTTTCCAATACTGTTCATGAGACAGAACATAGACTACTTATATACTCTAATGTGACCCATGTCATTGTCTATGTTCTCTCTCCTGACTTACTGCCAACAGCGTACTTAGGTAAAACTCTGCAGCTCATGAGTCCATCTCTCATGAGGGGCATCCGCTGTTCCGGTGGCTGGCGCGCGCGGTCCGAGTACGCTTCGCTGCAATGCCTCAATCACTTATGTGTAATATCCCAGCTGAGCGATCCTGAACCTAGATGTTCAGGAACAACAGCAATCCAGTCCATGATTCGCGCCTGTGGTTTGTATACACACCACAGCGTCCCTCCAATCGTTTCAATACAATGTCTCAGCTCCGCAGTCCTTAGTCCACTACTCAGGAGCGGCAGCAGTTGTGTCCATGGACAACGCACGACGTGTATATGCACCTGTCCGCGCAGAGCCGGTCATTGACGAGCGATATCACAACACTCCTTGGTATACTACATACCCCAGGCTGATTTTCCGGGACCCGATGATGATCCATCAGAGAAAGTGAAGACTGTGCTAGCTGTAAGGGAAGCTAACCACCGCTTTATGCTTCCAGACCTAGCTTCATTTTCTTGACTACATGGAATTGATACTGGGGTGCCACGTGGGAAGTATAGCTATCCAGGGCCTTCGGCTGTCGTGTCGAACCTTTTGAGCTGGTTCGGAAGCTGTAATGATTGAGACTAGAGGTATCTGGAAGAATAGCTCGCACAGGAGCTTTTAATTGAAGTGAAATAAAAAGATATAATTGTCTGTCTGTCTGTCTTCCTTCCTCTTTCTCTCAGCTTATATATCTACACATATCTACTACCTGACGTAAGATGATAATATCTAGAAATAGCTTACTTACATCACAGGATACAATCCAAACATGTTGTAGCCAAGATGTAATCCTAAACCGACTCAATACCAGTCCACCACGTCTGTTACACGGACGCCAAGCATTTTCTAGCTGAAAATTACCCAAAACGCCAAGGTTTTCCTGAGGCAATCACAAATTATGTCAGGTACCAGCTTGGCATATTATTCTGACAATAATGTTACGATCATGTTAGAAGAATGGAATTTACATGAATCACGAAAAATTAATTCAGGAATACGAATTCCACCGGGTTCTGATACTGGTCTGACAT